GTGTTTCAGTGCTGAAAGCAGATAAAGTCATATAAGTAATTTTGTACTAAAATGTACGTGATGAAATGGGATATCTAAATGTATGCACTTAACCTTCAAGTCATTAGAACTAATGGACCAGGTCAAGAGAGCTGCAGATGATGCTTGAGACCAAATCCAATCTAATGGCTCCGATTTAGATCAGCCAGACAGGACACTAAAAAGTCAGGAGAATTGTGCAAAATAGAAAGAAGTACAATTTCTTCCTTTTAGCAAGCACTCCACTACTATACATAAACCATGAGCTCCCTGGCTAATCAAAACCAATGCAAATCTCTCAGAAGCGTTCAGCGTGTGGAGGAGGGCACAGAGTGCCGTGGCAGAGCATAAGGCCTGTGTCTGGCTGGCTTCATTGCTCTGGCTTTTTTCTTCCAATGTGATTTACCCAAGACTTTTGACTCAGCACAATCCCAACGCTGACAGGAATAAAAGAGGATCATTTGCTTCCTTCTGTCTATGTTACAAAGCTGCAGTACATCGAGAGTGGGTAAATGCTGTAGAGTTTGTGATAGTTTTGTGTTTCACAATACCACTCTGACCACAACAGACAAAAATAGCATTTATAGGTAGTCATCGGTGTTTGTTTCAGTTCGCAAAGGAGACTAAATGCACGAATACAAGGAACTTACACTCTATTGCTAAATAGCTGCATACAAACTCATGAAATAATTGGACAAGATGTGCCAATATTTGTCTTGGCCCCTTTACAATTATGTACATTTTTAAAATGCCTTATGCACGATTAAGCATGGAGAAACTGCGTACAGCATGCAGAAAAGAATGAATAACAAAGATTATTTTGTGTGCACAGAAAGAATAAGCAGGAAAAATCCAATATCACACTTGATGGAGTTTTCCATTGTCAACTGGGCTTTCTGTTGCAGATTGTGATCATAATCAGTTAAATTAAAAATCATCCAATCCATCTATTTAGCGTATTTATTAGCAATTTATGATCAGCAACCAACTGATCATGCATCTAATTGTGCAAATTAGTTAATCATTTAATTCTACCCACCTTTTACACCAACTGATTAAAACAAAGATTAAGAATTAACTGCAAATATGGTTTCAACTAGATCCGGTGATAACATAGACTAGATGTAACTATTTATCACTGATGGAAAGAATGAGTGGGCCTCATTTGTGGTGAGTCTTTCAGCTGTCTATAATCTGCTGTGCCCTGTTTTCTGCTCCCTGTGATCACATTTGATGTGGCGTTGAATGTCAGCAGTATAATGAGGAGACTGAATGTGTGAAAGGAAGAACAGAAATACATATTCAATGATGTTGTTTATAGCTCTTATGGAGCATTTGCTGTACTTAAACAGACTTTCTACAGAGATTTGGGGGTCTGATTGCTCTTTCCTTCTAAAATACAGTTGTTGACTGTGTTTAACTGGTTTTACTCGCACAAACACCCTCTTGTGTTTCTTTAGTTCTGAGCTAGTGCAAGTAGATGTTGGGACCACTGGGATCGACAAGGAGTGACAAGCATATCAGTGACTAACTGCCGACTCTGCAAGGAAACAACGCACAAAGCGAACCAGCTCGGGCTGCACAATTAATTGAATTATTATCGAAAGTGCAATATGCAAGAAGCTGATATTTTTTAATGTGTGATTTTGTTACGGTTAATGTTAGGTAACTGTGTAACGCCAGTTCTCTGCTCCACTGAGGTGATGTTAAATGTATTCACCACACAGACAGTATTTTAGATTGGTACCATGAAACCAATATCACACACATATATACGCCTTGAATTTGGCCTGTAAACACAACCACACACATGTAGAAGAAACACAAACCTCTTACTTTACATGTTCCCTTTCTTTCTGACCAACACGTGCAACCACACGCAACCACATGCACAACTTCACATGCACAACCCCAAACGCACATTCTATTGTCTTTGATTGTCTGTTTTTAGTTAGTTTATATTTTGTGTTTTTGCTTCCATTGTATGTAGATGCTGGCCTGTTTAATGTCGCACAAGAATGAATGATGGCAACCTCTTGAACTCCAAATCCTTTAACTTACAACTATTACTATTGATATGTTAATTTTTGGTGAAATTAATAGTTTAGTGTATTTTAGACTGAAACAATCCGTCACTGGCTATCATTTCCCTTCTTCAAAGGTGGTGCCCCAAGGAACTTTAATTAATTTATATATATTTTTTTTTTTTAAGTTTTTATTATCTTTGATAATTTTTCTTTTTTTTAGTCAAAATTAATTGATTACACTGACACAGATTGTTGCTCCTTTGAACCATTGTAATTCCCACATAGATATATACCGATGTGTGTCATCAACTCTGTCCTGCTCAATATAAGATAAACTGTCACCGCATGTACTTCAGGTTAAGATCAGGTCAGTAAATCAGAATTTATTCACGTGCCGCACATGAATAAATTAACTTGTCTAATGTTAATAGGGCTTTACTGCTGCTGTTTATGGTTGATTGATAATAGGACAGACACGACTATAGGCTCTCAGAGGCTTGAGTTTAAGCCACAGTAAATTGCCCCTGATTGTCCAGATCTGATCCTTTCGTCAAAGCTTTTATTGTTGCTCAGTGAGTGAGTCAAAGAGAGTAGACGCAGAAAGAGCTGGACAACCTGTGACTTAGGAGAAGAGCCCAATTGGGCCCAACCTGCCCAAAAGAGCTTTTGTGTGCATGTTAATATGAGTAGTGCTGAGGGGTTTGGGTGAATGAAGGCACCTTGAAAGGCTCTCAGCTCTCATTGTGAGTGCTTTTTTTGTATGTCAGCTGGGAAATGAGGTAGGGAATACAGCACAATTGGATTACTTTGATAGGAGAGAAAATTTAAAAAACAAGCAATAAACAAGTACCTTAAATAGTCACGACCTAATCAGCAACAATCAAAGTTAAGGTCAGAAAAGAAATCCTTGTTTATGTCTTATTAAGAGTTTAACAGGCAAAACTCAAGACTAAACTAAAGTCAAGCTAATCTGTTTCATCATTGTGTGTGTGTATGTGTTATGGTTATATAGCTGTAAGGCTGTAGGCTGCAAATAATACATGTACACTAGGACTAGACTTGATGTGCCTGTCTCAATAATCCTGCCACTGGGTCAGGGAAGAGCACAGAGAAAAACTCAACTATTAAATCTCTCAACTGTTCGAATTTTGAATTTCGGAAAATCCAGGTCAAAGTTATTCACCTTGGCGGGTCATTTAATTTACTTCTTTGGTACAAAGTCATTTATTCAATATCCAGTTTGCTCATTTGGATTAAAATTATTCATCCATTAGCATAGCCTTCAGATCACAAAATCTTTTGCACATGCAGGGTTGGCTCTCCCAATATTTTCTCAAAGCACAGACAGAGAGAGAGAAAGAGAGAGCGAGAGAGGAAGAGACTCAATTCTGTAAGAAGGGGGGACATGTCATGCTGGTGTTGATGATACAAGCCCAATGACATAAAATCACCCAGAGAAAGTCATTACATAAAGGTCATAGAGACTCACATCATATGGTGGTACAGTTGAGAAGCAGCTCCTGAGCTAGAAAAACATTTACCACAAGCGACATTAACAACACTGTTTGAACAGTTAAGGCATACAAATGCAGCATATACATGGATGAACAATGCATATATAGGGCACAACATTATCACAGCACACGGTGATGAAGCTATACTACTATTTGCCCTAATAGGCGACATAGAGCAAACAGGACAAATGCCCCACTTGAGGCTTGATATGAATAAATCATGCATTGTGCATGTGACACCTCATACAGTAGTAATATACAAAAAAGAATGAAAATAAGCAATAAATACTTAATGAACACCTCAAACATGTGCAAGAAAAGCCTCAAGTAAGTAAAATGCAAACATGAAACACACACACACACACAGAAGATGAGATACTGTACAACAACAGGGACACAGATGCTGACACCCACCACTTCTATCCTTATAATAATTAACCTACAAACTAACAGGCACATGTACAGTAACCACACACACACACACACACACACACAGGCACATACACATAATGCTTGAATAGGTTCATCCTTTCATTGTGCAGCACTGCAGTGTTGAGGTAGGATGCTTCATTCTGAGAGCCAGATAATGAGCTGTTCCCTCTGCAGAGGACAGAATCACAGAGCCAGCAGAGTTGAGCTGTATTAGAGAACACACACACAAACACACACACACACTCCTACACACACACAACACAGTCACATACACACACACATACTGAAAGGAAGATTTCTTGAGCCGAGACTCAAGGGAAGGCTGAAATTAGCCAGGCAACATAGTCGATTAGGCTGGTTTATTCAAACACATGGTCAGAGTCGGAGTGGACAACGCAGAATCTGCACAAAGGATTTCAACTTCTGTCCGCATGTGTGTGGGGCTGATGTGTGTAAATCCAAGTGAGCTGGAATAAATGCAGATGTGTATTTGTATAAATGTTTATTTCTGTGACTAATTCCATGTGAGTTGGGACTCCAGGCCCTTTTCCAAAAATACACAGCTACATTGTTCATCCTTAAGTGTAAACCCAGAACTGACTGATCACTACCAAATGTTGAGTTGCTGACTCCCTATAAGTCTTTGGACCCCTGTAGATCATCCCACACATATAAGACATTGATTCAGCCTTGAGTACAACTTATAAAAGTATATTGAAAATAGAAGATTCAAAACTTGATATGGAATGATGATGATACTACAAAATACAAAACACATTAAATGTCTCTCTCAGGTCAGCATACCAAAATCACCAATCTATCACACATACAGTAAACATAGTACACACACACACACACACACACACACACACAAACTATACAATAACCCGACAGGAGCTTGTAAACTTCTTAACCCCCCTGGAGGAGCCAGAGCACAGCACAGAGTGCGCTCTGGTTCCTCCACACAGCACGCACACAAACCAGACAGTGAGCCCACACTGCCACCCACCTCTGTTCCCGAGCACACAGCCCTGAGGTGCATGCAGCGTCACCCCAACTCGCCTGTAGTCAAAGTCCTGTTAGCATTGCAGTTGGCAGCAGTAGAGCCAGCTGTATATCTCTACACCACAGTATGCCTCAGGATAAACTGCTAGTCTGCTAGTGCTGGTTAGCAACTGCTGTCATGGCATCCTGCCCCCTTCTATCACAGGCACTCAGCGGCATAGAAGCCCCCTCCATCACACACACATACACACACAAATGCACCCTCACATAAACATTTAGCTGTCAAATCATAGGGCTCTCCTGCTGTGACCTCACATCACAGGGGAGGAGGAGAAGGAAAGGGAGCATGAGAGTGGAGAGAGAGAGAGAGGAGGGGGTTGGGGTTGCATGTAAGTCTTTTTTCAAGAGTGAGGGAGAGTGATAACAGGTTATGGCCAGAAACCATGGTAGCCTCAGTGAGGAGGAAGAAATTACTACAGCGAGCAAGGATAAGTAAGAAGACTAGTGTGTACCATGGGAAGGATGCTGCTGTAAGGAGAAGAAGAAGAAGAAGTAATACAAAAAATGTTGCTGGCAAGTTGCAGGGGTGAGAACAAACTGTGGGAGGGAGAGAAGAAGACAATTTAATTTTGATAGCTGTGAGGGCTTCGTCCGGTCTCTCAGCTGGAAATAAACATTACAGCCACACTGGAGGAACAGCAGGAAGGCAGCTGAGCTACAACAAAAAAACAAACAGCTGCAAGGCTCACTGCCCTGCTGCAATCTTCACCTTCATCTCCTCTTCCTCCTCCACTCATTCACTTTTTTTGTGGATCAACTCTCTCTCCCATCTTTACTTCCCCTTCTTTCTCATCCCTCCTTCCTGTATTTTCACCCTCTTATCCCTCTCTTCTGCTCCTGTCTTCCTCCGCTTATTTTTCCATCCCTACACTCATCCTCTCATTCATAATGGATAGTTTAGAGATATCCGCTTCCTGTAGTGGGCCCCGTGCCCCTGAGGCCAGTCAGGCTGTATTGATTCCTGAACCAGAGGAGTCATCAAGGCAGAGATAATAAGGTTTAAAGTCACAGGGAGTTTTATGCATCCTTCCCTCCCCCCATTGGGGAGTCCGTCCATCTTTCCCTGTTGTCTATTGTCTGTCTTGTCCAACAGAACATGTGTACAAATCCAATTAGCAGATGGATTCATTGGTTTAGAATTGGGAATTATCCAATCTGGATGTGTATCAAGTATTTATGTGAGGAAAAAAAGGACAGTAAGAGCAAGACTGAGCAAGAAGAAGAGTAGGGAATCTCTCGTAAAGTGTGCGTGTGTTAAGATATCATTTGTGTCAGTTTTATCCAGACAGCCTGCATTACATAACAATAAAAACAGCCAAAACACACTGTGTTTCAGCTTAAACAATCACCAAAGTACCACATAAATCCTTTCTCCTCTTGGCTTTCTGTGTGTGCTACATTAAGGTTCATTAGACAAGATATCTGCCCTATGCTGTGGCTAGCCTGTCCCTCCTTTGACCCAGGCCTATATATATATATATATATAGGTCAACATTGGCATTCAAGTGACTGATAATGTGTCACACACACAATGCTGCTCTTTTTAGGACTGGACGAACAAACACTTATGCCCTTCAGCAACTACATATAACAATGTCCAGTACAATAGGGATAAACCAGACATCTGTAGTGAAATCTGTTGTTCACTTAAAGCAGCACCTTCTATGGAATTCTACTGAGTCGTTGTTAGAGCTTCGAGAGGCGTTGCATCTTGAGGAACAACGGAGGGCGTCATTAAATAGGGCAATTTTCATGCTTGCTGAACAAAACACATACAATGTAAAGTGGGCTAAATACAAAGAGACAAATAGAAATATGTCAACAAAACAACTTTTCATGTCAGTATGATAAACCTGGAAGACTGACATTAATGGGAAGAAACAACATAATAATCTTTTCTTATACTACGCCTCTCTAATAGTTAGAACGTATGAGAAGCGGTCAGCATTATTCTACCACAGTATCAGTACTCACAACAGCAATATATTTATTATAGTCCATTTTTCTGCAATTCAAAATCATTTATAGACACAATAACGAGATCGGACTTGTCAGTATTGTAAACATAAATATAGTTATATTTAAACACCTCCATATCAATATGTAATCAATTCATCTTTTTCTTTTTTTCTTAATTAGTCAATAAATTTTCTGGTCCAGTAGATGTCCAAATCACATAGAAGGTTATGAAAGTGATATCATTTTGACATTTTTGCTCAAAAAATAACTTAAAAACTTTTTAACTGTTGTCAAAATTATTGCAAAATAATTTCCTGTTAAATAACTGATCAATTGATTGATAACGATTATGATAAGCAAACAAGTAGTTACTGTTCATTGAGCTAGAACACTCAAATAAACTAAAAACAAAAAATCTTAATGTAATGCTGCCATAAAGACCTGAGAACCTATTATAATAACTAAACCCACGCCATACTGAATCTTCTATACAATATTTATTTATATCAACCCTATTTATGAGTTGTTTTCCATGTGACAAATGTACTGTTTGTGCAAGGATTCAGAGCCAAGCTGGGCCTGTGTGAAGCAGATTACTGGAGCCAATACTTGTGACAGTAACAGTGACATTTTTGCAGCATTATACTGAGTTGTTACATCTATGTTCACAGCTTTATGCAGTATTCATGAGGAAGGGCTCCCCAAACAGTAGCATCTCTAATGATACCCCCGACTTTTATTCACATACACACAAAGACAGAGACCCTGAGGAGCCAGCCAACGGTGGCGACTGCTCCCATTGCCTTCTGGCAATCTCAGTCCTAAGATATGAGCTTTTTTTCTGGAGTGGAAAAATAGGTTTGACACTTAATTAGCAAACAAGGTCACCTCACAGAAGCCAGGTCCCATGTTTGTGTCTCCCTCTGTCCTGGAGATTTGACACTCTCTCCCTCTCCCCCGCTCTTTCTCTCTCTTTCTGCAAAGCACTCAAATGCAAACATGCTCAAATACAAACAAACATGATCTCTTCCCCTCTAACAACAGAGTGGGGAACTGATAATCATAATCATAACTGCAAAGCATAATCACTGACAGGGAGTCCATCGCCAGCTAACTGCCCACTACCTCTCTTTCCTCTTCACAAGCAACATCTCACCTCTGGGCTATCCTGTCTTCATTATCCATGTCTGCTCAGAAGACTGTTTGAACAAACTGCAGGTGAGAAGATTTCAGCAGAGGAGTCTTGAAGTGGCGACTATTAGCAGACACAGAGCTACTGTATGTGTGTAATGGCTGTAATCTTTACCTTCCTCCGCAGCGGTCTGACACACAGTCAAACCAAACAAGCCTCTCCTCCACATACTGCTTAATTTCTGAGTTTTCCTTCAGCATTGTCAGAGAAGCCCAGCAACTCCAGAGTGAGTGTGTGGGTGGATGTGTGCGTGTGTGAATAAGCAGTATGTGTGCACTGCACTGTAAGTGCGAGTCAGCTAAAGAGTGCAGTCTTTCCTAGCCTCAACACTTGAATGGACCTTTCCACCACCAGCATTACTGATTGTAAAATGGCAGAGAAAAATGTAGCGTCCAAGCACATGAGAATATAATGACCATTAAGACACAATATAAGTCAGTGAGGGTCACAGGCCAAACAAGATGCTTTTCACTGCATTCTGTGTGCATACAGCGACGTCTTTGTGGGCGAGACACTTATTAATCAATTCACTTCGTGTCTGTCAGTACATTTCGGGTAAATCTACGTCAGGGAGGTTAGATCAATCTCTGAAGTCTGAAGTCTGGTTCCCAGTGCTGTTGTCAGTACTTATGTTTCCCATTTTCCATTTCTCACAAAGACAAGTCCCACTAAATGTGTATGGAAAGACAGAAACCACCAATGTTTTGAGCATGTCAATACTTTCTGAAAACCACAGCCTGTGTGAATACGCCCCAAGCCAATTCAAAAGACAAAACAAAAAACAAAAAACAAAAGCGTTTAAAATTGGTCACAAATCCTATCCTATTTTATTGTTTTATTGCTACTAATTTTACTGTAGTCGTTGGCAATCACCACACAAACAGGAGTAAATTTCCAGCAGTGGATTTAGTTCCCTAATTAGTATTTTCTGGACAAAACAGTATATGTTGCATAGACTCAAAATAAGCCACAGTGCCCATGTTCATGATAATAGAAGAACACGTCATCCAGTGCAGCAGTGTGGCTCATTTATGTGTTTATTTTCTCTGCTTTTGGACAACAATGGAGGTGTATGGAACAGAGGAAAAAGCTACACATGGTTGAAAATTCCAACTTTCTTGTCCCTGCAACCATCTCCGTTCTCTTATAGGTGTTCAATTCATTCACATCATTTTCCTTCTCATCAAACCATTCAATGACCCCTTGTGTCCTATGGAACTATGACCATTTGTCATGTTTCTCCACTCATTCATTCAGGTGTTTTTCTTTAATTTGTCACCCCATCTGTATCTCAGGCTACTTGTTTGTAGGATCAATTTATTGTTGGTTTTAGTATATTCATTGGATTTGTTGACAATAAGAAACACATAGAATATCATCAGAATTTCCCTTTGTGTTGCAAGTTTACCCTCTTACTGTACTTTTTTCTCCACTTTTCCACTTCGCTGAACAAAAAAACACCCTGGATATCATTTTACCATTGTCCTTTCACTGTCTTCACCATTATAAGAAGCTCTCTGTTTGCACTAGAGTCAGCACAAACTCTTATGCCGTAAAGAAATATCTTTGTTGTTAATTACACTAAGGTCTCAAATTGCTACGATACAGGAAGTCCCCATACTTTTACTGCTCAGATTCTAAACTATTATATATACACTATTATGTGCTAAGTTTCCTGCTGTATTTGTATACATAAACAATGTGTCTCGATCTGCCCAACAAGATACATAGAGACTGTAGAAAAACAGGTGAAAACAGAAGCAAGGGAAAGGCAGACAGGGACAGCAGACTCATGCATGCACTGGACATGCTGAAGCTTTGGGAATGGTAATTTAATTTGGGGGTGCCATTGTGGCTGTTAACTCCCAATTCTATTGTAGCTTTGATGCAAAAGCAGCCCTATTGCCAAAGGCAGCGTTGCACAATTTGCAGCTTTCAGAACATGACGGGAAGCTCTTGTTTACTTTAAATT